TATACATATATATATATATATATGTATGTGTGTGTGTGTGTGTGATATTGGGTCTATTCTCAAGATAACATGGTATCAGAGCGCCGATTTGTTCCAGCATTCATTCCAGCATTGATTTTCCCTTTAGCCGTTCGATTTGGCCGCTAGGTCTGCTTTCCAGACGCACTGTTCGTTCCAGCGATCGGTTGTTGCATCAACGTTCGTTCTAGCATACAGCTCTCTCACCAGCGGTTCGATCCAGCGGCTAGGTCTACTCTTCCAAGCGCAGGTTCTTCCTCCAATTGACCGAATGCCTGCCTAGAGCTTCCTTCCAGTCGCTGGACTGTTCTCCTGTTAGCCGAATCTTTCTCCTGGATTGTCGGAGCTCCTTGTTAAGGCCGTATTTACCCCTGCAGGATCTCCCGTTGCTGATTCTCCCCACTGCAACTAGTATTTCTTTGTCTCAGCATTCCGACATCTCCATTGGCTCGTTTAGAATCATGGCCGACTCCACCACGGAGCCACCTAACGGTGATTTTAATCCACCGGAGGATCGACACCAATCTCAATTCCTCTACAGACCGGGAGACCGGTAAACAACATGTACTTCTTGATCACAACTCGTAAATTGAACAACTTTAACTTTTTTTAATGGTCCCAATCTGTGACTTTGTTAATCAAAGGCCGTGGAAAATTTGGTCATTTTACTGGTATGATTCGTGCACCTCCAAAGATTGAACCAGTGTATGGACGTTGGAAGGTGGAGAATTATGTTTTCATGTTGTTGGTTGATCAAAATTATGGAGACTTCGATTGATCGATCATATATGTTCCTTCCTCCAATGCTCTCTGGACAACAGTTCGTGATTCCTACTCAGATGTAGGTCTACCTTCCAAGTGCAGGTTCTTCCTCCAACCGACTGAATGCCCGCCCAGATCCTCTGTCCAACCCAATAGAGCTTTCTTCCAGTCGCTGGACTGTTCTCCTGCCAATTTAATCTTTTTCCTAGATCGCCGGAGGTCCTTCTTGAGACCTATCTACCCCTGCAGAATCTCCTGTTGTTTGTTCTCCCCCTGCAGCTAGAATATTTCTTTGTATCAACATACTAACATCTCCTTTGGCTCAGTCAGAATCATGGCAGACTCCACCACGGAGCCACCTTCTGACGGTGATTTGAATCCACCGGAGGATTGACACCAATCTCAATTCCTCTGCAGACCGGGGGACCGATAAATAACATGAACTTCTTAATCGCAACTTATAAATTGAATGACTCAACTTTCTTTAATGGTCACATTCTGTGACTTTGTTCATCAAAGGCCGTGAGAAATTTGATCATTTCATTGGTATGATTCGTGAATCTCCAAAGATTGACCCAGCTTATGGAGCTTGGGAAGTGGAGAATTTCGTGGTTGATCAACTCCATGGAGACTTCGATTGACTGATCATATATGTTCCTTTCGCCAAATGCCCTCTGGACGGTAGTTCGTGATACTTACTCAGATGTAGGGAATTCCTGCCAACTTTATAAGGTGTCTAAGAAAATTTTTGAAACAAAACAATGATTCAAGATCGTGAACTAGTGCTGCAATGACCTAATTGCATTATAGATGAAATGTGACCTATATTATGACTACACTTGAGAATCTTCGACCAATCTATCTCTCTTTCAGAAAATTATAGAAAGTACCACATGCTCCAATTTCTAGCATGTCTCAAAAAAGATTTTGACGAAGTTCAGGGACATATCTTTGGTCTATATCCTCTTCATTGAGGTTCATCGCGTAGATAGCGAAACAAGTGTTAGAAACTTCACGGTAAGCCGACATACAAACCTTCAGCCAAATCCTCTGCTAAAAAAGGTCTCACAGTGACGTCCGAACCTACCACAACTCAACCGATTTCTACCCTCAACATCCTGGAATCCTCGGAATCCCTGAAAAATCAAATGGAACAATTGATAAAATTTCTTAGGGCCAATCAAGTCTCTACAGGTTCATCGATCTCTCACGTCCGACAAAGTATTCTTTCTATGTCCCTCATAGTTTATTCCTCCTCTAGTCTGTGGATCATTGATTCAGGTGTCATGGATCACATGACTTAATGCACACAATCTTTCTTGACTTAGTATCCGTGTTATGGAAAAGATATCATCAGAATTGCTGATGGCTTCAGTAGTTCCATTGATGGTAAATGTTTGATTGTACAAACAACCGATCTAACTTTGGAGTCTGTTTTACATGTTCCGCAGTTGCAATGTGACTTATTATCTGTCAGCAGGTTGACAAATGATATTGATTGCATTGTTAATTTCTTTTTTAATGGTTGTATTTCTTAGGATCGTCGTTCGAGAAGGATGGTTGGAATTACTAAAATAGTAGCCAGACTCTACTACTTTCAAGAGGAACACAGAGAGTGAGGACACATCTCTCTATAGTTGTAGTTTATTGCGGATCATTGAATGTATCATTATGCTGTTGCATTTTTTTTTCTTTTACACAACAACAATCAAAATAGACAGTAAAAAAAAAAAGGTTTGGTTGGCTTGGGCAAGTGGGTTTAGCAAGCAACATCATATATCAATAACCATGGGTTTTGATTCTAAGAAGATGCTCTTAATTTTGGGTTAGGGCAAAAATAATCAATTCACGCAATGTAGAGGCTGAAATGAAAGGATTGATCGTGGGAAGGCTAGGGCAGCGAGGCTCAGTGCAAGGCAAGATAATCGACGACTAGGTCACTCCAACAGGGAAAAAAGAAGAAGTCTTATAGCATCGATGCAAGGAGAAACAGAGGATGGTGTGTTCTTATATGCATTTTGTTACCGAGAGGGGAAGAAGGGGGGTTTCGAAAAAAATTGTATGTCGCAGTCTCGTCGTTACCTTCCTCTTTGGCTATAAGCACAACTGCATCATGAAGGTAGGCGAGGGTTTTGATTCAAACAGGAAGTCGAATGGAATGGCTCGGGTGCAAGGCAAAACGAAGACTTTCGGTGTTGGGAGAGGGAAGACAAAGTGGTGTGGGGCATGCAGCTTTTTTGTGCGATAGATAGGAACACCAAGCACACTACGTTTTGAGGCAATGGGGATGGGAGCCAAGGACATGGCATTTCTCCCTCCTGAGGGTTTCGTTCGTCATGATCCCACTGTTACTTTCCTCTCTCGCCCAAGTTATGACTGTATTGCCTAAACTAAATAGGGAGCCCTCACCCCCGTTTAGTAACGAGGAGTTTGAACTCCTGAATCTCTAAAGAGATGTGTTCATTTATGAGTTGAGTTGTGGCAATCAAAAGATTGAGTGAGAACATTTATGAGGCGGAAGTAATTATAATCTCAATTTAATGAGTTATTATTATTATTTTCTTTTAGGGGTCAACACCCTTTAGCAGTCAACTAGCGAATATCCTCATCAAAAATCTTTCTCGACTTTTGTTCGATTACTTTAAATTCAAGCCGAGCATAACTGACATCTATGCTTCAACTTGAGGGAGTAGTAGAATATTAGAATATTAATATGCTATTTCTCTATTAATTGCTTTGATTTGCTTTTATTTATTTATTTTTTCCTTTTTATTCTGATTTTATGTATTTCCTTATTACTATATCCTGTAATGGGGTATTTATGCCTCTTTTTGCATCAATAAGAAATATACTGGCTCTATTCTCAAGTTAACAATATAGCATCATCAATTTCATTGCGTTTGGAAACCTTAACCCTAGAGTATCAAATATTAAATTGGTATCAGAGCATGATTGCCACTTAAAATGAGAGCCGATTATCAAAGCATTAAATGAGATTATGAAAGAGATGAGATTTTTGACTATTTTGCAAAATCAATTGGCCAAAATTTTAGATAACACAATCAATTGCTTGATGACATTAACATGATTAGTGAATGAATAGACACATTATAAATCAATTAACTTCTTGCATGTGAACTTGAAGTAGACTCCAATTACGTTGACCCCCGATTGTTATTTTTGTTTAGGTGTATAGAAATCATTTTGATAGACAATTTATGATGCTCAACAATAATGCTTATGGAAATCATTGACATTAAATTTTGACATACATCATAAGGATATATAATGAAAATTTAAACTAACTTTTATGCTTTAAGAGTTAACAATGTCCCCAAAAAAAAAAAAAAAAAAACTTAGAAAACACTATTGCTTACTAATTGATTAATAGATCTTCTTCGAGAATTTCTTCCTCTTGGCTCTTTAGACTTCCATATCCCTGACAGTCACATTGATGCATCTGAAACATTAACTTCGCATCAGAAACTAATAAATTTTAGGGACAATTTACATACATATCACCCAATTCTTATTTATTTACATATCTAACACCTAAACTTCACCCAAATTTTTTATATCATATCAAATATACCACTCTTTTAACTTCTAAAAACTGAGACACCTTTTCATTGCATAGGTAAGGTGACATATATGTAAAAATAGAAGCTTATGTGTTAGATATGTAAATACATAGGAATAAATAAATGTTGGTAATGATATCTCTTTCAGGGAAGAGTTCGACGACGAAAAAGAACCTGATGGAATGATTCTCTCCGGATGGACGCCATCTGTCAATGCTCACCAGTTCACAAACAATGGCAAGAACACTCCAAACACACCTTCAGATACAGCAGAGATAAAACACATCAACGGGCCCTATATGGTTCTCGAAAGACCACTCGGCGGCGGCGGCGCGAAGAGAAAGGCATCAGAACTGGAAGAAAATTCCCGATTAGTCGACAACAACAATGTCGTCGTTGAAGATGACGATCTCCTCATACTCGACTCTCAACCCGAAGATTTCCAGAGGAAAAAGGTCCACTTATCAGCTTGAAATCCATTCCTGTCCCCCTTACTTCCAAAGAATGTCTCTTGAAAGCATCACTGGGGTTATATATATATATATAAATATATAATTATGTTGTTGTTGTCATTACTAACACATTTTGTCTGATGTAACCTTTTTGTTTATATTTTGCTCCAACAAGGTCGAGCGGTTTGCCGCATTGAGGAAAGCATTCGCATCTCTCATGTCGGCTCTTCAGGTGAAGTTTTGGAGTCCTTTTGCTGTATATCTTTTGTAATCCCTCCTCTTTTTTCTTCTTCTTCTTCTTCTTCTACCTTTTTCAGAACAATGCTGCTAATTTCTTTTGTTTTTTTTTGGAATATGATTTCTTGAGTAGTTAAATATCTCATGTAATGACTAACTTTTTTTTTTTTTTTTAAATGAAAATCATTTTGGACCATATTCATGGCTCATTGCCTGCTTTTGACATGTTCTATGAAATGTTTTGTTATTTAGGAAGATTTGCATATATACCACTTACGGCTGTCAAAATGGCTCGTTGTTCAAGAACAACTCGTGTTCGGCTCGTTAAGAAGCTAGTGTTCGGCTCGTTAAGAAGCTAGTGTTCAGCTCGTTAAGAAGCTAGTGTTCGTCTAGTTTTGGCTCGAAATACTACACATCAAGTATGTATATGTATATGTATATATATATATATATAAAGTAGTATTTTAAAAAAATTTAATTGACTACAAGGCTTCAAAGATTTATAATCAATTAAAATATTGATTAAGAAAATAGTATAAAAGTTATTAAATTAGATTCAAATGAAGTTTTAATATAAATAATAATTTTTAAATCTTGCTCAAATTCTTATTGTCCTATGTCTATATGATTAGGGTTGTTAAAATGACTCTTTGTTCGTGAATAACTAGTGTTCGGCTCGTTAAGCTAATGAGCCGAACACGAACACATATTTTGAGCTCGAAATATAGTTTACAACCCTAATACCACTCAGTTCTTATGTATTCACATGTCTAGAACCTAGACTTCAAAATTTTATTTACGTCATTTTACCTATGCGTGAAAAGTTGTTTATCACATTTAAAAAGTAAAAAAATAGTTGTATTTTTTATGTATAGAAAGGCTTGGGGTGGTATAAATGTAAAAAAAAAAAAAAAATTGGGTGCTATGCATGTAAATTGGCCCATTGTATGTATTGGTCAAAGGGGCAATTTATACTATTAAGCATTTGTGTTTTATGCATGTACCATTTAATTATTGATATTTACTTATTTAATGCCAAATATTTAAATGGCATCAAAATATAAATGTGAAGATTTTTTTGTTTTTGGCAATTTTAATATAAATGATATATTTTTTTTATGAGTAAATATAAAGATATAGTTATTAAATGTATGAATATATAAGAATTCAATGATTTGTGCAATTCCATTATTAATAATTTAATTGTCTAATCTTAAATGCTATTGGGGGGATTTATTTGTATGCTGCAAGCACCTACGTATTTTTTGATTTTAGTGCTTTGTATGGTTAGTTGTATAAGTTAGAATAATAATAATAATATACAATAATAATTAAAAAATTAAGGAATTATCAATATAATTATTAAAAAAGTGTAAGGCCGAGGTTTAAAGCCTTTTAGAATGGTACGTAATTGGGTAAAATGTATCCTTCACTTCCAGGAAAAATATTGTGTTTGGAGTCCGGACGTAAACATACGTCCGGTGTCTGAATGCGATCTACCGGACGGAGCTGAGGAGAAAAAAAAAAAGAAGAAAAAAAACAGTGCCAGATATATTGTGTCCTGACCAGGAAGTAATATTTTTTCCGAGAGGTGGTCTAGAGTAGGGCTGTCAAAACGGCTCGTTGTTCGCGAGCAGCTCGTGTTCGGCTCGTTAAGTTTGTACGATATGTTAACGAGCCGAACACGAACTAAGATGTGTTCGCTCGTGTTCGGCTCGTTTTGGCTCGAAATACTAATCATCAAGTTTATATATATATATATATATATATATATATTTGTTTTTAAAAAAAAT